AGCAGTAAATGCCAAAAGGTAATGCAATAGTCACTTCAACGTGTTGGTGTCAATAATTGTCAACTTAGAATTCCATAGCCAGAGGCTGGGGTTGTGGCTCAGTAGTAGAATACTTGCCTAGCATGTGTGAGCCCTGGGTTCAATCCTCAGCACCATACAAAAATGAAATAAAGATAATTGTGTCTACCTACAACTAAAACATAAAAAAAATTAAAAAAAGAATTCCATAGCCAGTGAAATTATGATTTAAGAGTATGAGGGAAAATAGAATGAGAGATATAAAGAGAAAGAAAAAATTTCACCCAGACCTTTGGTGAATGAAACCAAAAACAACACACTTCACTAAGTCAGGAATTTATCCCAAAAGGAAAGAACAGAATACAAAAGACAAACAATAAGAAAAAACTATGGTAAGATATGTTGGTAAATTTAATGGGATAACTATGAATGTAGTAACAATGATGAGTAGAGAATTTAGAGCACTTAAAAGTAATGGCTAGGGGTAGGAGAACAACTTGGTGCTAAAGCACTTGCCTAGCATGTGCAAGGTCCTGGTTTCCATCCTCGGCACTGCAAAAGAGAAAAATAAATAAACTAATTAATTAATAAGAGGGAAATAAAAAGCACAAGAGATCAATGTGTAGTTTATAGAAAGGGAACTTGACAGAGTGATTCATTTTATTATTTTTTTTTTAAATTTAAGGTTATATTGATAGGAGGAGGTACAGATAGTGACTAACTTTGGATTTTAAATATAAATGTTAATATTTTAATATTTTCAGGATAACTTCAAAAAGTTGAATTAGAAAGTATACATTTCTTTCTTTCTTTCTCTCTTTCTTTCTTTTTCTTTCTCTGGGGGTAGGGGATGGCTTACTAGGGATTGAACCCAGGTGCACTTACCATATTCCCAAAATATTTATTTATTTATTGAGATAGGGTCTCAATAAGTTGCTGAGGCTGGCCTCAAACTTGCCATTCTTCTGTCTCAGCGTCCCAAGTCACTGGGATTACGGGCATGCTCCATTGTAACTGGCTAGAAGGAATATATTTCAAATCAGTAGAAACGTTTGGAGAAAGAGAACACACTAAAGAAAATTCAACTAAAAACAAAACAAAACAAACAAACAACAACAAAAACCACTAGAAGGCAAGAAACAAGGAAGAAAAAGCAAAAGAAAGTTAAATAAATACAAAAATGAGATGGTGCTAATAAATCCAAAACACAGTCATCATAATGTGACAGAGTGTGCTTGTTTTCAATAAAATCTGTTTGTCCTCCATAGTAATGTAGCTGTGGTTGGTCTATGACCACACAGCTAGTGGTGTCATGTTTCTGCTCTTTTGCTGCTAAGTGTGGTCATATAAGTTCTGGCCAATGGTATATAAGCAGATGACATGTGTATCACTTCTTGCAGTAGGCCTTCAGAACTTAGGTTAGTGCTCCTTCACATTCTCTTCTTCCTTCTATAAACTGAAGCTCCCTTACCAGTTTCCACCATGTGGATAAAAATTTAAGAAGATGGAATTGCAATACAGTACAAAGGAGCCTTCCCAGCAACTAGACCATTTATTCGGCACTGCTCCAAGAAAAGGAAATAAACACTAGGTGTGGGAAGGCGGGAGGAAGGATCTGCTCCTTACAACAAGTTTTAACTCTGATTAATATATGTGGTAAATGAAAACAGATTTAAAAAGTCTCCTAAAAGGCAGACTGTTACAATGGGTCAGTAATGTCAAAATGCAACTCTTATCTACAAGACACACTTAAAATGCAATGAATGACTTAAAATGGTTGAAAATAAAGAGGGGGCTAACCTGGGCAATCATTAAAAGCAAAGAAAGCTATCATATCATACAAAACAGAATTAAGTGAAAAGAGAATGGATAGGCATCTTAGTCTGTTCAGTCTGCTATAACAAAGTATTATAGTTTATTGGTTTATAAACAATAAAAAATTATTTCTAACAGTTTCAGAGGCTGGAAAATCCAGTCCAAGACTTTGGCAGATTTGGCATCTGGTGAGGGCCTGCTTCCTCATAGTCTGCCTTATTCTTGCTATAACCTCACATGGCAGAAGGGATGGGGACTCTTTTATAATGCACTAATCCCATTCATGAGAACTCTGCATCAGTGACCTAATCACCTTTCTAAGTACTTACTTCCTAACACCATTATTTGGTGGAGGAGGGTGAGGATTTTACCATATGGATTTGGGAAAGATATACACATTTAGACCACAGAAATAGGAAAACATGTAATGAACTTAACTAGGCAAACTTGGTTATCTTACTCTGTGATTTATACAGCAGAACCATGAGCAAATTACTTTATCCTTTTCCAGCTTCAGTGTCCAATAAAAGCTGACAATAATATATTTTTTGGAGAATTATAAGAATGAGATGAGCTAAGCATGAGACACTAATTTTCAAGAGCCATAAAAACATGTCTTGAACTATGTCACATAATTAATTCTTTCAACAAACATTTACTGAGCACCTACTATGTGTGAGGAACTGAACTGGGAACTAGGAAAATGGAGATGAGTCAATCATAACACTTGCCATTGGGGAGATTAAATGTAAAAACTGAGTTAGGCAAAGTCTGCTAAGTATTATGGTTGGGAATGGAGACAGAAGATATTTAGTCACTCAGTGTAGAGAGAAAGGCTAGTTTTAACCTGCAGCAGAGTTGGGAATGAATGATTTCATAAGAAAGGTGACTCTTTGGGTGAATGGTGAAAGATGAGCAGGTGTTTGGACTGACTGAATAAGAGGAAGGACATTCCATAAGAGAGCACAGCATAAAAATAAGTGACCTGATAGGGAACTGAATGCAAGGAACTCAAAGTGTTTGACAAGATTGGCAAAGTAGGCACTGGCTAAGATAGTGGAATTCTACCCTCTAGGCTATGGGGTGGTGGTGGGGGGGAGCTATTGGCAGGGGTTACCCAGGGAATGATTTGCTCAATTTTGTACTTTACAGGGCTTGCTTAAGTCAATGTACTAGAGATAAACAGTGGAGGTGCAACAAGCTTAGAGGCAGCTAAATTAATAAGGAAAAGTAATGCAAAGTTTCAGGAACTTGAAACAAAAGACTTGAAACCAGGGAACAGCAGTGAATGAAGGGAAGGTGATGGACAGGAACCATGGGGTGTGGGGAACAATGGAAGGAGGAGGGGCTTGGGATAATTTTCAGGTTTCTCCTTTTGTTGTCTAGGTAAATTATGGCATTTACTGAGAATGAGACAGGAGAGAAAAGTCACTGTTAGGGAAGCTAACTTCTGTGTTAGTCAGGCTAGTTCAAGGGGGACATCTGAGTAGAGATTTTCTGGTAAGAAGTTGGCTTTTTTTTAGAACTGGAGATCTGAGATAGGGATGGTAATTTAAGAGTTATCAGCAGTTGGCAGTTCAAATCAAGACCGCTCATTGTTTCCTGGGTAGCAAAACAGTCCGAGGGCAAAGTATTTAGGTTCCCCAACATATAAGAGGTAGCTGAGCAAGAAATGCTCAGGCAGCATCACTACTCAATCATCAAGGAGCCAAGGGAAAGGATAGACTCAAGAATCAAAACCTAGTCAACAGTGACAAATGCTTCAGGAAAATCAATTAAGATGAGAATTGAAGAACATCAAATGTTTTGGGGAATCTTCAAAGCCATTGGGTGACCTTTGTCAGTGTAGTCTCAGTGGAATGGCAGGCATAACAGAATCAAGTAAATGTTTTTGACTTTCCGGTTTTGAAAACCTGTGAATGCATTTGATATAAAGGCCGCGAGAAGATGTAGATGGAAGGCTTCTGAAAGTTCAGGAGAGGAAACAACCTGTGTAAAGTCAGTCACTCTTGAATTAGAACTAGATGGAAACTACATCCAGTGCCAAGGAGATGATCTGAAATGCTATTTGTAACATTTTTTCCTTCCCACAAAGGACGGGAGGAGGCGACTTGCTGCTTAATGAGCGCTCGCGGCGTGCCAGCCCCTTCCCCTAATTTCAGTGTGGTGCTAAAACTGGAGCGCAGATGGTCTCAGCCCATCACGACTTTCTTTCCACGAAACCGGTAATCATTAAAAAAGAGTAAAAGCAGCACTTCTCAAGCTTAACCTCTCTTGCAGATGGTAACCCATCTGCAGCTTTCTTAACATCACAAAGAAGAAACCATCCCTGGCTCCGTGTGTTCTGGAGCGGTTCGGGAGTGCGAAGATCTCCCTCGCTCTGTTGAAGCCGGTTACTGTCCAATGTGATTTCGTTCAAGCCTCGGCACCCAGAGGCGGGGAGGCGCCTACAGCTCGGGCAGCCAGCTTTTGGACAGAGGCGGGCGCGAGCTGCAGACTCCCGGTAGACAGCGAAAGAGGGAGAGGGGCGCTGGCAGGCGTCTCTAGTACTCGCGGCCACCGCTGCTATGATCGCCAACACGGCGGCCGCCGGGCCCGTGCTTTCCCCGCGGCTCCCTGAGCGCCCGCCAGCAGCTCCGCGCCGGGCCCCCGGGGAGGCCGCTCCTTTCAGCGCGGTCGCCCGGTGCCCGTGACCACCCGGCGGCCGCTTTCGGTTCCGTGCCTTATAAGGCCCGACAGGGGGTCACGTGCGTCCCGGGCCGCCCGCCGGGAGGAGGGGGCTGCGGGGGGAGGGGCGGGAAGCGGGGAGGAAAAGGGGAGGGAGCCGGGGGCGGAGGAAGGAGCGAGGGGCGGATTCTGCGGCCGTGGGAGGCGGCGGCGGCGGCAGCAGCCGGGAGCGGACCGCTCGGAGCCGCGCAAAGGAGCGGGACCCAAGAGGAGAAGGAGGAGGCGGCGGCGGCGGAGGAAGGGACCGGCGCGGGGGCGGGAGAGAGCGGCGCGGCGGAAGCCAGAGACGGCGGGAGGGCTGGTGGCTGCCCCCGGGCGGGAGCCGGGGCGGCGGCGGCGGCGGCCGAGAGGGACCGCGACGAGGGAATCGCATCCAGCGGCCCCGGCGGCGGTGGGGGCCGGGGTCCGCGCGCCTGGGTGGCCAGCCGCGGGCCAGCGCGATGGAACCGCAGCACGTGCGCCCCGCGAGTGGCGCCCGCAGCCCGACCTGGGAGGAACCGGTGGGTACCGCGCCCGCGCCCACCCCCTCCCGCTTCTACTCTGTCCCCCCCGCCCGGGCCGGGTTCCGTTCAGGAAATGGCCAGGGATGAGGTCCCCAGCTGCTTCCCAGCCGGGGCAGCGCTTCCTCCGCCGCCCGCGCGCCGCCCGGATCGCCTTTGTCCGGTCGGCTGAGGCTTTCCCGGAGGGGCCATTGGCGACCCACTGGTGACGGTCCTTAGAGGACCGCTTCCGTGCTTCATCGACTTTCCAACTTTTCACTTGATTTTCGAGCGTGGAGTGTAGGCAGAGGGACAGGAGAAAGCAAGGCTGTGCGGTCAGCGTGTGGGGCTGGGACGAGGTGGGTCTTCCCTCCAGAGACTGCTCCCTCGCAATCACCTGGGCGCACAGGTTTTTAAGGACCGCCGCCTGGGGAGGCCGATCGCAGCTAGAAGCCCAGAACCACGCCTCCGACTCTTGTCGGCCGCTACAGCCACAGGCTTTTCCAGGGGTCAAGGGGTTTTGCCGGGGATGAAGCCAGAAGCTAACTTCGCTTTCGCCTGGGATTTCGCTGCACACGCAACACGGAGGTTGAGTAATTTTAGGGGCCGAGAGTAGTGTGTGCATGTGTCTTTTGTGTGCGAGGATAAGGAAGAGAAGACCAAGGGTCTTTGGATTTATTTCCCCAGACCCCTTCGACTTATTTTTTACAACTCAAAACAGAACCATCTCGCATCCCTCCGGGGATTCTACCTAGGAATCCCGGTGCCACTCAGACCTCAGTAATCCAGTGTGGGCTGCTTTTTCCTTGGCATCGAATTTTGACTCTCGACGCCCTGCCTGGATGTTTGGTACTCCGTCTCGGTTGAAATTCTGAACTGGTCAGAAAAGCTTCTGTTCTCACCCGCGTTGCGGACTGTAAGTTCGGATGCTATTTTCCCCGGGACTCCGCGAGTTTGGTCGGGCCGGCCTCAGCCTGTTGAGAGCTTCTAGGTCAGGTGCCAGGGTTGGTTCTCCTTTTTCTTTTCTAATATGTACACTCCAGCTCCCTTGCTCAGGGTACGTTTCTCTGCCTCCTGTTTCCTGACCTTTCAAAAGTGTCCTTGGACTCTGATCCATCTGCATCTGCAGCTGTTTTTGCTTTTGTGAATTTGAACATGTTGTTAGGTCGCCCATCTGCTCATATTTCTTCTATTGTGGTTATCACTGGGGAGTAAGTTGTACTTGAAATTAAAAATACAATTTAATTTTGACGTTTAAATTAAAGATCATTGAGAATTAAATTCCCAGTGACCTGATTTACTCCTATACTTTTGTATTTGAAGTCTTTTCAGAACCTGGGTACTTTAAGCCCATGCCACTCACAATGGGAAACACCTGGTCATATGTAGTGTTTCTTTAGGGTAGTGATGTCAACTACTTTGCGCCCAGCAAATTAAAGAACCCCCTTTCTTTTCCTTTTTTGAGGTGTTGGGGATTGAACCCAGGAGTGCTCTGCCACTGAGCAATATCCTTAATCCTTTTTATTTTGTATTCTGAGAGGGGGACTGGCTATATTGCTCAGCCTAGTCTTGAATTTAGGATCCTCCTGCCTCAGCTTCCCAAATTGCAGGGATTTACAGGCATTTGCCACCTTGCCCAGCCTCTTTACTTCTCAGAAGTGACAAGAACAAAACCACTCATTTATTTTCTACAGAAAATATTCAGTATCAGTTTCACCACCAGAATCTTTAAAACTAGAGCCCTAACAAAAATGTGTGCGTGAACTGTGACACTATCCAGAATGTAGAACTCGCTTTTAAAAATTAGGTTCATTTTCTTTAAACATGAAAGGCCCTTGTATTTGCTCAGCAAATGTTTTGGTCCAGCACCTATCATGTTTTGGAACTGTTGGATAGCGTTTAACAACCCAGACACAAATCATTGTCCTCAGAAAGCTTGCATTCTTAATTCAACAGAATGTTTGGTTCCATGTATGTTAATGATTTCCATTCAGAGAGTCCAAAAAACATGTTCAGGAAAGCTTAGATTTGTGATATAAATGTTATTTCTGATGAGTTTGAAATTTTGTGGTCATACATGTTATGACCACAAAGGTCTATTTTAGGACTAACAAAGGAAATTCTTATTTAAATTCTTAAAAAAAAAAAAAACCCTCAGGTTATCCAAATTACTTAAAAGGGGCATGTACATGGGGATGGAGTTGTAGCTCAGCGGTAGAGGGCTTGCTTAACACATGTGAGGCCCTGAGTTCGATCCTCAGCACCACATAAAGATAAATAATTAAATAAAGATATCTTTCTACAACTACAAAAAATATTTGGGGGGGGGGAGGCATATACAATAAAAAGGAGGAATTTATTAGAAAAGAAAGTGTTTAAATGTTAAATATTTCAGGCTTGTGGAGCAAAAGGGGGAAGAATCAGCTTAATCTAAATGTATTGAAGGAACACAAATCCATCAAAATTGGATTCTTGACCTTTGTCTGGGTCAGTGATCTCTTTAAGAATCTGATTAAAGCAATGGACTTTCTTCTTCAGAAATGCACCTAAATAATATACTGTCATGGTCTTTGCAGTCATTTGTTTAATAATAGAACAAATTTTGAGAAATGCATTTGTCATTGTGGAAACATTGTTGAGTGTACTTATGCAAATTAAGATGGCTGTAACATCACTAGTGGATATAATCTTATGGAACCACCCTCTTACACACATTTTAACACAATTTCAAGCGAATCAGATTTATGAAAACCTATTCGTGGACCCTCAAAGAGTTCAGTTAAGAACACCTATTTTCACTTGGACTCCATTTTTAAGTCATTTAAAAATCTACTTTTAAAATTCAAATATTGGCAACTTTGCTTTACCATGAAAGTATGCTCATTTATATTTAAAAAAGGACTATCCAGTAGCAAATAAATGATATTAATATTACACTTATCCTGTTGCATTATCCCTTATGGCATATAACAAGCAGTCTTCACATTCATTTTTTTTTGGGGGGGTGTACTGGGGATTCAACTCAGGGGCACTTGAATACTGAGCTACATCCCCAGCCCTATTTTGTATTTTATTTAGAGACAGGGTCTTACTGAGTTGCTTAGTGCCTTGCTTTTGCTGAGGCTGGCTTTGAACTTGTGATCCTCCTGCCTCAGCCTCCTGAATCATGGGGATTACAGGTGTGCGCCATGGCACCTGGCCTTATTATTATTATTATTATTATTATTATTATTATTGGTTAATATTATTTTTAGTTGTTGATGGGCCTTTATACTATTTATTTATATGTGGTGCTGAGAATCGAACCCAGTGCCTCACCCATGTCAGGCAAGTGCACTACCACTGAGCCACAGTTCTAGCCCTCATTCTTTTTTGATGTGATCTAAAATGTGATAATGAGTCTACTCTTTGGGCAGAAGAGTGAATGAAGTATCAGGAATGGATGCTAGCTAACTGTAAAGGAATCATAATTTCTTTTCTTTTTTCTTGTTTCTTTTATATTGTGTTGGGGATCAAAACTAGGCCTCGAACTTGCTAGACAAGGGCTCTACCACTGAGCTATATCCCAGCCTAGAGAACAGTACTAGTTGTCAAAAATGCACCCATGTCTGCAGCTGACAAGCAGTTGCTGGGACTTCATGACATTCTTTGTTCTTTAAATGGGAACATTTAAATTAGCTAGTAGTCCCTCTACTCTGGCTGGGACATTGGGCCTAAAGATGATAATGTTAGCATTTAAGTTTCTGTGTATTTTCATTAATGCTAGCTTTGGAATATAATCAGGTCTCAGTGGAAATATAGGTATTACCTAAATTTATAATCAATTAAAAAGTATTTTGGTTGTGGGTATGGATTGTCAGGAAGATGTTTAGCCAAGCAATACTTGGAGGAGGGGTAAGTAGAATTCAAGCCAAAATTTACAAAATGTAGGACTATTTACAAAGTAGTTCTTTCTTTCTTTCTTTCTTTTTTTTCTTTCTTTTGGTACTGGGGAGTGAATCCAGGGGCACTTAACCACTGAGCCACATCCCCAGCCAGTTTTTGTATTTTATTTAGAGACAGGGTCTCACTGAGTTACTTAGGACCTTGCTAAGTTGCTGAGGCTGACTTTGAACTCCTGATCCTCCTGCCTTAGCCTGTGGAGCCACTGGGATTACAGGCATATAGAAAGTAGTTCTTAGTGGAAGGATATTAGAGTACATTTCACCTACTACATTTTGTTTATATTTCCAAATGATATAATACCAGTTAGTGTCTGTAAAACAATCAAAATTTATAAAAAATTAGGAAGGAAAGAGTTTCAAAGGAATAGGATCAGACTAGAAATGAGAGATAACTAATGTAGTACTGCATTATATTTAGATAATGAAAGATTTTTGCCTTAGTTACAAGGGTGACCACATGTATGTGCAATTGATACCACAATGGATCTCAAATCTTTTTCATTCAGATAACAACTAAGGAAATTTTAATAAGATAAAGTTTTGAATGTTAAATTATGAATATGTAAGAAAAGTGTACCATGGAAATTGTTCTAAAGTTTTAGTGAAAACAGTCTTCTAGGCATGTATTTGGTCAACTGGCAAAGTTCCTTGAACATGTGTTCCTTACTGATCAGGAACAGGAGTCCTAGAATATGAATTTTCAAATGTGCACACTTGTCCTCAGGATATAAAATGTAGCATTTAGCCTGTTTATGCTATCATATTTAATATTAAACCACAGAATGTATGGGATTTAAAAGTTGTTAATGGTATTATGTTTTGTTATGAGTAGTGATAAGAATATAATTCAGATTACATCTATAGATAGTTGTATGTTAATATTCATAAAATTGGTATGAGCATGATATTTGGCTATGATTTATGCATCTTCATATATATATATATATATATATATATATATATATATATATATAAGGAAACCTCAGAGATCTCAAAGTAACAATAATAAAAGTACCTTAAATTAGGGATTCCTCAAAAGTCTCTCAGAAGAGATGGTTGAAAAGAATTTTGATGAGCTTCCTTTCTTGGGAAGTGAGGTGGCATTTATTCATTTGCCTACACCATATTTTCTGAGGTTTTTTTTTTTTTTTTTTTTGGTACCAGGGATTGAATCCAGGGGTGCTTAACCACTGAGTCACGTTCCCAGCCTTTTTAGAGATAGGGTCTCCCTGCAGTTGCTCAGGGCCTTGCTAAGTTGCTGAGGCTGGCTTTGGAATTGTGATCCTCCTGCCTCAGTCTGGGATTATAGGTGTGGACCACCACACTGGGCTCACCCTGAATTTTCTACAGGGTAGAGAAATTATAGAGCTGACTGTGAGGTTAAATCTTTATAAGTAAGAAATACATTTACTTTGAGGTATTAATTTCCCAGTTCCTGGATGTAAAAGTGCTTTAAAGCATCTTTAAGCAATCAGTGTTTGAATCGAAGAATAAAAATGTAATCCAAGCAGGGTGTGGTGGTGCATGCCTGTAATCCCCGTGGTTTGGGAGACTGAGGCAGGAGGATCAAGAGTTCAAAGCCAGCCTCAGCAATTTAGCGAGGCCCTAAGCAACTTGGTGAGACCCTGTCTTTAAATTAAATACAAACAAAGGCTGGGATGTCACTCTGTGATTAAGTCCCCTGAGTCCAATCCTTGGTCACTCCCCCCCAAATGTAATCCATACTATTCCTTTTGGATCACACAGTAGGCATAAGCATTAAAAAAGACTTTCCATTTAACCACCCCTTCCCTGAATTCTGGAAAATGTTGCTATATAAAATTTGAAAGCATAATGTGTGAGTAGAAGTAAATGATAGAGGACAAATTTATTTTTGTTATTTAATATGATAAAGTGAATAGAACATTTGAATAGTAATCACAATTTTGACTTTGGTCCCAGTTTGTGCTTTTATACCTCAGTTTCTTTACATTAAAAGAGGGCTGAATTAAACTTATTCTTTCAAAAGACCCTTTACTGGGTATCTTTTACTGCGTTGCTAAGTCATAGACTTGTCAGTGACTAAATGTCAGATGGGGATAAAGGCCATTATTTTGCTTATTTTTCTCTTAAAGAATTTCCAGTGATATGTGTGTTTCTAGATATAAAATTATGTGTTTATAGGGCCAGAAGAACTCTTCAAGTTCATTTTGCTGGCTCCTTCTTTTCCTAAGCAGTAGCTGAAGCTAGAGAAGTCATCTCTGTAAGCATTATGTGGCAGCAGTCTCCTTGTCTTGGAGGATAGAAACTAGTCAGTGCATTTTACATTTTCATGAATTTAATCTACAGTGTTAGGATTTGCATACTGTTTCTTAAAACTTGTTAGAACTGTCAGCCCTAACACATAAATCAGATTATTGTTGGAAGTTGGATTGCAACTAGGAGGGAAAAACCCAGAATCTTAGTTATAATTAAAAAGTTGCATGTGTTGTTTTTAATATTAAAAAGTTGCATATATAAGTTACATATATACATATATGTTGTTATATGGAGGAATGTTAAAGGTCAAGTCAACCAATAAATAAATAAATAAAATTAAAAAGGAATGTGTATAGATGGGTAAGGACATGTTACAGAGGCTGAATGCTTTATCCAGGTGAAGAGACCCTATGGTCTGTCAAGGAATTTGTACCCTATTTAAAAATATAGCTAACAATAGTTTGAAGTTCTCTTTGGATGACAAGAAGAATCTGTCATTTTAGTATTTTCTCTTCAGACTGTTCCAGACCTGCAAGGGACCTTTGAATATTGAGTGTGCATGACCTGCAGCAAGGCTGCTGTTCTCAAGCACCCACACAACTAGCTTGCAAGGGGCGAGTTTTGAGCGGTGACTACAGCCTGTTGATCCCATTTCCTCCCGCTCCAGTCCTGGTTAGGGAGTGGCTCTCCCAGGACTTCCCAGTGTGTGTACGTGTGGGTTTTTTTTTTTTCCCCCTCTCCTTTTTAACACCCCGCCCCCACCGCCCTGTGTTCGGGTACTGGTGTTCACATAGCTTGAATGCCTTGTTTTCTTTCAGGCAGTCTCGGTTAGCACTTCAATTAAGACATTTATTTCGCACTCTGTCGTCTTGGGCTGCGTGTCCTCTCTGGTTTCTGCGCTCTCTCTACGCCCTTTCCAGTTTCCTGTTAGCCAAAGGGGATCCCTCTTTCTGAACGAAAAGTTCTCAAAGCAGAGCTAAACCTCCCGGAAAATACCCTTCACTTCCTCGTGCGCCTGATGGGGGTGGGGGTGGACCAAAACCTAAACACCACCACAGTGGAGAGAGCTCTAAGGGCCGGCACTTCCAGGCGGAGGAGGGAGAGGTATGGTCCCCAGAGTGGGGCTGAGGGTCGTGAGACAAACACGGGGCAGAGGGGACTTTTATTCTGCTGGAACCATGCAACAAGGCCCAAGTGTCTGCAGAGATTCGGGGTCCAGGAGGTAGTGGGATGCCCTCTAGGGAGTCCGGAGGTAGATCCAAGTACCTTTCCTGAGAGGGGCCATTCTTACCCTTGCTGCCCATAACCAAGGGAGAGAGCACCGCCCCTGCCTGACCTGTGGCGGGATTGACTACTACCGAGGTTTTCTGCCGTCCTGCCTTCTAGTTCATCCCGAGGACCCCAGACCCTAGAAGAAGTAGGCGGGTGTTTGGCCTATCCCTTTGTCATCCTGTCCTCTCAACCTGCGCTGGTCTTATTCTGAGGTTGGGTACACAGGGGTCCTAGTCGGGAAAGGGTTCTGTGTCTACAGTGCTTCATTACACAGAAATTCTGGCGGGAATGGAGCAGAAAAGCCTGTCCAGTCCCTGACTGCCGGGCATCTGGTCCCCAGTGATCCTTTTCCCGTGGGGGTGGCTAGGGTAAGGGTAACAGAAGATGGCGGCATCAGCTGGGCGGGGGGTTCCGGGGCACTGCCAGGGTAGAGCCCACCCTCTGATCTCTGCCACCGCCCCACGCCGGGCGGTGCTCTGTCCCTGCAGGAGTCGGAGAGGATGGCAGGGGCCAGTGGCCAGCACCACCCTCCGGGTGCCGCGGGAGGAGCAGCTGCCGGGACTGGCACTGTGGTCACCCCCTCCGCTGCTTCAGCGGGGCCCGGAGAGGATTCGTCTGACAGCGAAGTAGAGCAAGAGGGACCCCAGAAACTGATCCGAAAAGTGTCCACCTCGGGGCAGATCCGGACCAAGGTGAGGCGGGAAGGAGGGCTGCGGGAGCCTGGAGATTGGGAGGCGGAGGAGTTGGGAGGTGGAGAGGGCGCCTGGGGCGCAGCAAACGCGCTGGGTGATCCCAGGAACTAGAGGGAAAAGGGGAGGGGGCGGGGCCTGGAGTGTGGGGCGGGGTCTGGGGGAGGGGAGGGGCCAAGGGTGCAGACTGACCACCCCGCAGCCTGGGATTCCAGGCCTGGGAGCTCCAAGGCTTCCATGGTGGGATCCTGAGTCCCTGTCAGGCCAGGCCGAGGAACTGGGAACTAGCCGCTTGGCAGGAGCATGAGAAAAGCTGAAAAGCCCAGTTAGGGAACTTAAAAGAAGTGTTTTATTTTTTCCTCCTTGTGGTGGCATGGTTCGGTAGCATGTGCGCTGCATGTGTAGGCCAACCAGCCGGACTAAGGTGCGCCTGCCGCTTTCCTTCCAGTGGGCAGAAGGCTGCCCCTCTCTTGGCTCAATCTGGGAGGGTTGGTGGGAGGTGATACCTGGCATCCTGTCCTCCTCCTTTGGCTGTCTGGTAAGCAGAAGCCATGAGCCTACGCCAGTGGTAAATGGATGGTGCTCCTTGTTCGAGCACTCACCGTGCATCCAACAGAAAGCTGGCCAGGTTTTCGTTTTGCGATTTCCTGCGAAGTTAGAGTTGAGACCATATATCCACGGTTGTTTTTGATAATTAAAAAGTGGCATATATGTTACATATATACATATATGTTGTTATGTGGAGGTTATGTTACTCGTTTATGAAGCTTTGTGCTGTCCCGGCCTGTAAGGTTCCAAAGTTGTCTTAATTTGATCATGAACACAAAGCAAAAGATTATGGATATTAAAAGATTATTCGTATATTTTAATGTTCATCTTTAAAAATCCACAGTGAGAGTTTGTTGTCAGTGGACAACTTTCATGAGGAATTCGAAAAGGGAACCAGTAAAATTATTGGGTTTGGCTGTCCTCTTTAAAAATAAATTTACCGCCAGGGGCAGTGGCACATGCCTGTAATCCCAGAGATTTGGGGGTGAGCAGGAGGATCACATGTTCAAGTTTAGCTTCAGCAACTTTGTGAGGCCCTAAGCAACTTAGTGAACCTCGTTTCAAAATAAAAAATAAAAAGGGCTGGGAATGTAGCTCAGTGGTAAATGCCCTTGGGTTCAATCCCCAATACAAAAAGTGAAAATTAAAAAAAAAAAATTGCAAAAGTCATTCTACAACTATTTTCATGAGAATTGGTTTCCTAAGGTCAGTGAACTTGTGGTAATAGCTAAGATTATACTCTTTAATTTTGTTGTTATCTATGGTTTGGGGTAAAGCAAGTTTATGGAGACTAAAGTGAAAAAGCATAATTATTTTTGGTTTCTGTTTGACTTTCTAATAAAAATATTGAGCATATTTTGCTATGAATACAGATAATTATTATCATTGAATAAAATGTTTGAATTTCAAAAAATGTATTAAATATGAAAAATTCTACATTTTACACTTGCTCATATATGTTAGGGTTCACATGAATTCGTCAGCTATTCATAAGTGAACACCTTAGATCAGGACCTTAGATTGCTGAGACCAGTGAGCCTCAGTCTCACATTCCACATCTCACAATCCGGAATGTTTATATATTCTACAAGCTTCATGAATTACAGCCCTTCTTTTCTTGCTTTGTGTGCGTATGTGTGTGTGTTACTGGGAATTGAACCTAGGAACACTGTACAAGGAACTGTATCTTTAGCCCTTTGTATTTTTTATTTTGAGGTAGGGTCTTGCTAAACTGTGGATCCTGGCCTTGTGCAATCTTCCTGCTTTAATCTGACTTGCCTTAGTCTCCCAAGTCATTGAGATTACAGGCCTGTACCTCTGTGCCCAACCCAAGTATCTCTCATCATATATGTTGATTCTCAGGGAAGAAGGTGAAGGTGGTGAGGGAATGTATAGATTGAGAATTGCTAAATTTAACTGTTGATTCTCAGACTTCAATTCTAATTCAGGTAAGAATTAAGGGAAGAATCTTTAGAAAAAGATATTCTCTTGATCCTTCCCGCTGGTGTGTAAGATGAAAAAACTTGGTGGACATGGGGCCCCAGGACTAGCTCAAAGCCCAGTCACATGTAAGATAACACTAGTAGTTCCTGCTTATACATTTGGAAGATGCACCAAAAGACCACTTGGTCTGGCAGATTGCGTTTACTAGTGGTGGCTTCAATCCTGGGAACACACATGTAAACTATATACATACATATGCACATGCTTATGTATATGTGCTTTCTTTATCAAGCATTTATCTGTAGATGAGCCCAGGGCTTAAAGAAGAGTATATTGTACATAGAGGGCAAAAATATTTCTTGAATAACTATATATTACATACTTACATATAATGCTTCTGATATATGAATATTATTAACACAGGTGCAGTAATTTTAATTTCCTCTAAGATTAGGGTTGTAAAGCTACTTAGTAGCAAGTTTAGGTTTAGGGTGAAAAAAGGCTGCTAACTGAAGAAATTACCTTATATAAAGTGTTCTTTGTAACATTTTAAATGGTTTGGATATTAGTGAAGGACATTAAATTACTGGTGAATTTGAAAAATGTTCAGACTTTTTCTTAACAGAAAAAGTAATACATGCATATGTTAAAATGTTCAGACAGTAGTAGAGATAGATGTTACATGTTAATAGAAAGGTATTGAATAAAAAGTAATTTCCCTCTTACTCCAGACCTCTGGTCTCCCTTTCATAGGCAGACATTGGTGACACTTTTCTTTTTGATTTTTTTTTTTTGGTGGTGCTAAGAATTGAACCTGGGACCTTTGGAATGCTAGGCAAGTTCTTTGTCACTCACTATATGCTATACCCCCAGCCCTAGTGGTGACATTTTCTTGGTGTGCTTCCAGAAAATTTCTATGTACATACAAGAGTGTGTGTGTGTGTGTGTGTGTATACACATACATATATCGAAAAATATATATTATACATATATACATTTTTATACATATAAATATATATATTTTAGAAATACATATTGTATATATGGACATCCTTATCTTAAAAATACCGATAGGAATGTTTTATAAACATGTTTTCTTTGAGATATAATATGGAGATTATTTTTGTAGTGGCTTTTATACATACCTCGTATGTATATAACTGTTCTTAATGATGGAAATACATTCCATGATGGAGATATATTCCAATATATTAGATTGAGCTATGTGAAATTGCCTTATTGGCAGGTCAAAATTGGTGAAAAATATGGAATTTCATATGGTTCAACCTAACAAGACACATTATTTAATGAATCAGTTCTGTATGGAAGGAAATAAGGGTTATTCTAGGACAACACATTAATCTCAGCTTTTGGGTGGTGGACATGTTGACTTTTTAAAGTAAAGAATAGGACTGATATGCTTTCAAAATCAGTGTGGCGCGGCTGGGGTTGTAGCTCAGTGGTTGAGCACTTGCCATGCATATGTGAGGAACTGGGTTCGATCCTCAGCACCACATGAAATAAATAAATAAATAAAACAAAGATATTGTGTCCATCTACAACTAACAACAATTCTAAAAAAAATCAGTGTGGCTTAATAAAATCCTCATGTAGGTCTTACTGCCCTCCTCCCATGCCTACCTACATTGTAGACTTTTGTTTCTGTTTTCATTTTCCATTCCCCCCTTGGTTTCTTTGTAGGTCTTGCTGCCTCTTTACTATTTTTTTTCCTTTTTCTCTTTTCATTGTTTTTCTTTTCTGTATCGGCTGAGTGGAATTTCACATGTTAAAAACTAGGTAATTTTAGGGCTGCCTTTATTTCCCCGAGGCAAAAAGTCATACAAAAATGAAAATGGTTCTGATGTGGAAAGCCCAGTGGGAGCAGAATACTGCTCTTTTTACTTCCTTTTCTTTGCCTTTCCCTAATATTCCTGAATTTGTGGATTTTTTGTTCTCTGCAACCTAGGAATAACTCAGGTATATACTGAGAATGAGATTTTGAAAGAACAGTAGCACAAACTCCTACCAGTTGGGTTTTGAGCAGGAGTGTGAAGGAGGCTTTACATGCTTTCTGTTGGTTCATGAATACTGTAATCTTTAATTTTTGCAGGAATGGCCAGAGGAATCTCAGACAGCTTGCAGGCTAGATTGTTCAACTGTCATAAACAAATGGGAACTATCTCAATGACTTTTTCGGCCATTGAGTCATCTTGGCTAAGGTCATGAAACTTGTGTGTCAAAAATACCTCCTGATTAGGTTCATTGTGTTCTTATTACTTTTGATATTTATATGTATTTTTATGGTTAATTTTTTTTTGAGGTGGTCACTGGGGATTGAACCCAAGAGCACTTTACCACTGAGCTACATCCCCAGGCCTTTTAAAAAACTTTTTGTTTTGAGACAGGGTCTTGCTAAATTGCTGAGGCTGGCCTTGAACTTGTGGTCCTCCTGCCTTATCCTCCTGAGTTGCTGGGATTATAGACATGGGCCACCATGCCTAGCATTTTATGGTTAATTTTGGATGGCCATAATTGAGTCTTTAAATTTAGAGAAAACATAACTAAACACTGTAAAGATATTCAGAACTTTGGGACAGTGTTATATGTGGATTAAGAAATCTCTTTACACCTAGTAGGAAAAGAATAATGGTCACATTCTTCAATTAGTATGTTGGTTTTAATTTAACACAAAAGATGTATAAATAAACTTCTGTACTTTGATGATAAAGCAAAATATAAAAATGCTGTTTACAATTTTCTGTGCTTTATGAAATGTAATTTATGCAATTAAGACATCATTTTTTTTTACCATTCACCCTCGGTAGAGTAGACTAGGGAAGACTTGCTCAGTGTTTTCCATAGTGTAGGTGGCAGCATGTTAGTAGGTCATGATGGTTTACATGCGGTGTTTAAAACCCAAACAGAATAAATTAGAAAATATTATTTAAAACTATTAGCTGCAGTTCTGGATGGAAACATTTTAATTAGGCAATGATCCAAATAGGATGAGA